TCCTGACCCGCCGCTTCATCGGAGAGTACGCGTCCAGCGCCGGTGAGAGCCCCCGCGGCACGGAGACAGGGATGGCAGGGTACAGGGATACAGGGATACAGGGATGGCAGGGTACAGGGATGGCAGGGTACAGGGATACAGGGTACAGGGATACAGGGATGGCAGGGTACAGGGATACAGGGTACAGGGATACAGGGATGGCAGGGTACAGGGATACAGGGATACAGGGATGGCAGGGTACAGGGATACAGGGATACAGGGATGGCAGGGTACAGGGATACAGGGATGGCAGGGTACAGGGATACAGGGATGGCAGGGTACAGGGATGGCAGGGTACAGGGATACAGGGATACAGGGATACAGGGATACAGGGATGGCAGGGTACAGGGATACAGGGTACAGGGATACAGGGATACAGGGATGGCAGGGAGTCAGGGATGCAGGGAGGCAAGGATGGCAGGGATGCAGAGATGCAGAGAAGCAGGCATGCAGAAATGCAGAGATGCAGAAATGCAGAGATGCAGGGATGCAGAAATGCAGAGATTCAGGGATGCAGAGATGCAGAGATGCAGGGATGCAGAGATGCAGGGATGCAGAGATGCAGGGATGCAGCGATGCAGGGATGCAGGGAGACAGAGATGCAGAGATGCAGTGATGCAGAGATGCAGAGATGCAGTGATGCAGAGATGCAGGGATGCAGGGATGCAGGGAGGCAGAGATGCAGAGAGGCAAGGAGGGATGGAGGGTTCCCTGGGGAGAGCAAGATGCAGCTCCTCAAGCACTGCTTTGCTGGAGAAATTGGGTAAAACCGCGGTGCCGCAGAACTTTTGGGTTGAGATTTGAGTTTCCGCTCGGGTCCTGGAGGGGAACAAGCCCTGGGGAGGGGAAAGGCAATCCGGGTGCCGGGCAGAGATCGCTCCAGAGCACAGAGAGGTGATCCTCACACAGCTGGGGACAGGGAGAGAGCTGGGCTGCCAGTGGGAGCCAGGTTGGGTTGTGGTCAGCTCGACCTGAGAGGAGATGGGGAGAGCAAAGACTGAAAAACCCCAAAATAACACCGGCTCTGCTGAATGTCCCCTCCTGGGCTCCAGGGGAGAGGGAAACAGGTTGTTTATGTGGCACGGGTGCTTAGTGAAAGCACAAGGCTCTGGTTTGATGGCTGGGTGGAAAACCTCACCAGAACATGCCGATGGTTAAGACACTTGTAAATCTTGGAAGGTGGCAAAGCAGGACTTGGACTTTTACATCCCGGGTAGAAATACTGTTCAGCCGATACACAAATAACTTTGGAAGGGTGCTGCCACCCCAGCTGATGTGGCAGAAGTCCCAAAACTTAGCGAGGCACAGAGACTGCCATCTGCCTCTCTTCCTGCTAAACTGAAGAACTCTCTCCACACTTTTTAACTTTTTCCCTGCAGGAGTCAGAGTAGCTTCTTGTGATCTCTAAATCACAAAGAGAAAAATAAATACTAATACTGAATGAACTTATTCTGAAGGAAGAGCTACAAGAAATTTGTACATGTGTTCTGTTTATTATTTATTTATATATTTATATTTTAATAATAATGTATTTATATACTATTATTAAAATAAATATATTTATTTATTATACAAACACAGACTGAGCAGGCAGTTTGTGTCCCAGCTGCTCTAGGTCTAAGCTACCACGTGTAAATTACGTGCTCCAAGCCACCTGCAACCAAAAGCAGGTTCTGTTCTCAGCCTCCAGTACTGCAAGTCCTGTAAAAGGCATGTCAAACCCCCAGAACATTTTCATTTTTTAACAAATGTTTGTTGGAAGGTGAGTTCAGCGCTATTTCTAGAGATGAGGAAAGTGGTAATAAGGGTGGTAAAATAAAGACCATGCTACTATTAGTGGAGTCAAAATAATGATTAAAAGTTTGTTTAATTAAGGAAACAAACAAGGAGCTGTAGATTTTATACCCTTGAGATGCTTGGGACTGCAAGTTTATTCTTATAAATAAACTTTGAATTCTTAAGATAAGCATGAAGAATGCTGAAGATGCTGAGTTCCAGAGATCACAGAGCTATGCCTCGTTTTATCCCTCACCTACACAATTTTAAGTGTGTTTTCTGTAGTGTCAACAGCAATCCTTGTCCCTGTAGTTCAGAAAATGACAAATTAAAGTGTAGAAAGCCTGTTGGCAACCACAAACTGGTTGCACTTAGAACATCCTTCTGCTTTAAATAGTACTGATGGTTGTCTGCAGTAGAGTTCCCAGTGCTGCCAGTGGAGAGTCCTAAATCTGAGATGCTACAGAAATATTTTTGGACTAGATCCTAAGGACATGGTCCTGTAAATCCTCTCAGTCTAATGTTGCCTGGTATGGGAGCTCTTAAAGCACCAGAAGCCATGGTAAATAAATATTATTGCTAAATAGCGACTTTTGTGCAGAATCAGAGCTGCACTTAGTCTGGCTCACTACTTTTATAATCCTGAATGATCAGCAGCATTTATCTGATTGAGAGGATTCCTCTCTCCTCTGTTTTGGAAGAGGAAATTAGGGTCTGAGAGTATTCATTCACCAAGACTGCAATGGGAACACCACAGTGCAGTGGTCCTGGTCTGCCTAAGGGTGACTGGTGCAAAATTAAATAGGTTTGTTTCCAGTGTGTGTTCAGAAAAAAAGACAACTTGTCAACAACAAAACCAAAACCACAAAACAAACAAACAAAAAACCCTCCCTAACAAACATCTCAAACCTGCAAAAAAACAGATCAGAGGCAAAAAAAATCTAAATGTCTTGAGAAATCAGAGGCAAAAAAAATCTAAATGTCTTGAGAAATCAATCAAATAACCAGTACTCAAGGAATCCTCAGTATTATCAAGTTTTGCTGTTGCCTCCTTTTCTCTTTCTCTTCTCTTTTTTTCTTTCTTTCTTTTTTTCCTCTTCTCTTTTCTTTTTTCTTTTCTTTCTTTTTTCTTTTTCTTTTTCTTTTTCTTTTTCTTTTTCTTTTTCTTTTTCTTTTTCTTTTTCTTTTTCTTTTTTTCTTTTTCTTTTTATTTTTCTTCATTCCCAGTCAGTAACACTGATATTCTTTGGATAATATCTCTTAGAATGCATCTACACGAAGCTCTTGTGCCTGGATGGGAGGCAGATCCACCTGGAAATTTATGACCCTTGTTCACAGGTAAGAATTTAGCAGGAGGAGGGTAAAGAAAAGCTGTTCTTCATTACTTTTGTATATGGTAAAGAGTACTTTCCCATTTCATCAAAGGAACCCTTCATTGCTGAAATTTTCTGGAAATGCATTTGTGTTTTGGAATAATACTCACAGAAATAACTTACCACTTTTGCCTTACATAAGTAAATAAAGAGATAACTTATCAGATTACGTGCAGTTGTCTCAAATACCCTGAATGAACGAAATTTAGCTTATAAAGCAAACAGCTTATTAAATGGCTGCACAAATGGTCAAAGTAGAAAGGCCTGGAAGTAAGGCTTGCATTCACAGAACAATTTCCTTTTCCAAGGAAAGCCATAATGCAGCTTGTGCACATCGACAATGAAAATTTAATTACAGAAAACCACTCTGAAATAAAGTTTTTGTATTAATTTACTTAATTTCCAGGAATAGAGAAACTTGGGTACTGTGTAACATGTGCAGACCTAGATCTGGCTGATCAATCTGGCTCTCCAGGTTCCCTTTTGGGCAGCTGGGGTAAGGAATGTTAATGTGAAAACCAAACCACTGAAAGTCTGACCCACACTTAAATTCAGGGACTTAAAAACCAAACAAACAGCACTGCTTGTTCCAGGGCAGTGAGGATCCTGGAGCAGCCACTGTGCCATGGAGCAGGATGGAGTCTTCCCTTGCCACACTTTTATTAGAGGCTGCTCCTTTCCTGAGCTTGCCTGCAGCTTCCACCTGCTGACATATTGAATCCTGTGGCACTGGGGGCTGCTTTGCTGCTTTTTATTGAGGTGTTGAAACATTGGGAGTGGCAGCTGGGTAGGATTAAACAGGTTAGAGCTAAATTACAAGAGACTTTGGTTACCACAGTAAGTTTGTGCCAGCATGCTTTGAGCTATCTTGTATTAGTTTTTTCCTTAGGAACAAAGCCTAACTTTAGCTGTTTAGCAAAGTAAATTTTTATTTTTATTTTTATTTTTTCTGATCAGCTTTTAGGTCATATGGTCTTGCTAGCTGCTGCCAAATCACATGCAGGGATGAGCTAATTTTAAATTGTTTTCAAATGTCCCTTTGCTCAGTGGGACAGTTTACAGCTGTTGCTTTCTGGAGATCAGAAGTGTGGCAGTTTCTTGGTGTGAAGAGAGTCAAGGATTAGTATTACCCTATTATCACTCAAGTGACTTTTGTCACTAGTTTTGTTAAAATTAAAATTTGTTAAAAAGTTAAAAGCTCCAAACTGGAAGAAGATTTTTTTTTTTTCCTAGCTCTTCAGAAATTTAACATATGGATAATTAGTGTTTGAAACCTGAACAATTCAAAGGGGAAATGAAACAAATGAAGAAAATCATTGGGAGCACTGTAGTCAGAATAGTGTAGAATATTAGGAACATGCAAACCAGAGCTATAATGACAAAACACAGAAATGCTGATGGCTCCTGTGGGTTTCACTCTCATGTAACCCTGCAGAACACTAAGCATAAGCAATGGTTGTGCAATTTCACAGCTTAAACAAAGTATGAATGTTCCATAATTAATTTTCCAGTGATCCAAAGTGCCATTTTTGATGTTGGTGATTTATAAGGCTTTTAGAGCAGTGCTGGCCTGAATTCAGTGCCAGCACCTAGACCTATTAAATATCTTCTGCAATGAAAGTTACCATGTTCTCGCATTCACAGTGACAGAGAAAAGGCTCTGAAGTGACAGGAGTAACATTCTTTTTCTGTGTACCCTTGAACTCCTTTCAGCCACAGCAGGGGAAGCTTTCCCTCACAGATGAGCTCCACTGGGCTGATGGATTTATCATTGTTTACGACATCAGCGACAGAGCATCATTTGCATTTGCAAAAGCCCTGCTGTACAGGATCCGGGAGTCTCACATAGGAGTTTGTAAAAAGTAAGTGGCATTGTTTATTTTCTTTGTTTATTTTCTTTCCCCTCAGCAAACCCAGAGAAAAGCTGAGAACACTTCTGTGAGCTTGTGAGCAATTAAAATCCAGCAGCATGGAAGTGAAGTAACACAATGCCAACAACAAGGTACCTGAAGGTAAAATGTGTGGCAAATTACAATATATTTTACTGTATCCAAACATCAGGATTTTTCCTCTTATTTCTTACAGAACTAATAGTTAAATGATTGCCATAAACATTTCTGCTGTGATTTATGTGGGTGAAGAAGCCTGGCATAGTCAGTCTGTGCTTTTACTCTCCCACTCAATTACCAAAGGAGATGCACAAATACAGGGCCTGAAGAAAGCATTTCCCACAATGAAGGGAAGTAATACCACAAATGTCTCCTAAACTGCTTTTAGCAGTGACCCAAACACCATTTGTGCACATGGGTGACCATATGGTAAAAAAAAAATACCTTAAAAAATCAAGAATTACCAGAACTGCAGACATGAGTGTGTGATGGTATTGCTGCATCAGTCAGCTGGGGTGCTCCCTAAATAAAAGAGTGAAATCCTTTACCTATATCAGAAGTGGAGTAAAAACCCCATTTTTTTCTGTCTGTTTTATTGCTGACCTTTCTTTTTTAAGGCTAATTTCTGAAAGGAATAATTTTAGCATAAGCTTGGAATCAGATTTCCTGTGTTTCCTTCTGAGTTATGCCACTGACACTGATGTATCTCTTGGACTCTGTTCTGTTACCTGCAAACAGAGATAATGATCAGCTTGCTTCTTCCTGAAGTGCTGACAATAAACTCAGCAGCAAAGAGCATGAAAAAAACAGTTGATTAAAAAATACATTAATTCTTTGAGTAGAGAACACAAAATGAAAATCTACTGGTGGAGAATAGCTTGTCTAGAAAATTCTTTGCCAAATGGAAAACCAGAGTTCTTCCTGGCAAGGTGAGGGGGCTGGTGAGTTCATTTTGGGATTTTTTGCAATGCCTGTTACATATTTTCCTACACACTGAATACAGTTCAATGTATGACACAGTGTTTTCTCTTTTTCATTTCAGAATGCTTGAGCCATCAATATTTTTGGTGGGCAATAAACAGGATTTATGCCACATGAGGGAAGTTGGCTGGGATGAAGGACAGAAGCTGGCAATAGATAACAAGTGCCAGTTCTGTGAACTGTCTGCAGCAGAGAATTATCAGGAGGTTGTGGCAATGTTCACCAAAGTCCTGAGGAATATCACTTCCAATTTCAAAGTCAAAGAAAAGAGAAGACCAAGTGGTTCCAAGTCGATGGCCAAATTAATCAACAATGTGTTTGGAAAGAGAAGGAAATCTGTGTAACAGATTGTTATTCTTGAAGTTGGAACAAGCTGAAATAATGGAGCAGAGGCAGCTCTTGGGATTCACTGAATTTCCTCCAAAGGTCAATATCTGGAGGAGTGAGACAGCAGAAACCAAAGGTGGGGGATAGTATGGTCTAGACCTAGAAGAGACCTTCTGTTTCAAGCTCTGCTACAGATTTACTGTTTAGGGCTGTGCCACTTTGTAAGCTGCTCCAGAGGAGAGGTTTAGTCTGTATTTATTCAACACCAACATGGTCTTGGATAGAGCTTCTAGGTGCAACTGAAATATAAACAGTTATTTCACAGGTTCACTTATATCGGAAAAGACCTTTAAGATCATCAAATCTAGCCATTAACCAAACACTACCAAGTCTGCCACTAAACCATGTCCCTAAGTGCCACATAATATCCAGTAAACTCAGCCTTGCTGATCAAAATCTTACTTCAGAATTCTGAGTTTTGCATTTTTTTAGTATTTTTTTATTTTTTTTTTTTTTTGTGCAAGAACATTTGCACTAAAGGAAAGCAAAATACTGTGGCTTCATGTGGTAATGTTATTTGCATTTAACTCAGGTCCTTGTGTGCCTTACACTTGCTGAAATTCATATGAATTAAATTTTGTTTTGACACCAAATCTACAAAAGGTATTTATTTACCTGCAAAGCCACCTTGCAGGGGCACCAGAAGCAGGGAAGCAGATACATAAAGCAGTATTGTCTTCTGTTCAGTATCTTTTTTTCCTCTGTTCCATGAGTGATGAAAGAAAGTAGAGAGGGTTGAGGAGTGTGGGAACTGAAATGTTGGTGAAATGTTAGTCAGTGACTCTGGACTCTTTTGGCAAGGTTGTTGTTGGGTGAAATAATTTCACAGCAAGGGCCAGCATAAGGTTGGTCCCTTTCACAGAAGAGTTTTTGTGAGCTTTAACAAAAGTTTCATTAGCTGTAAGGTGGATGTGGCTGCTCCATCTCAGATGGCAGCAGAAGCTTGGAAAGCACATGGGCTGGTAGAGAGCACAAGCTCCTTAGGATGTCTGGCTGGATTTAAAGGTCAGAGCTGTGCTCACAGAGAGTGTTTTTCCTAATAACCAATGTCCTTACAACTACTCACGGCTGTGGTATTGAAATGCCACTGGAGAAAGCACAAAGTGCTGTTAGCTACACTCTTCAGATGTGGATATTAAACATCAGATGGGTGTAAATATGCTGTCAGCTGGCAGAGTTCTTACTCCAGACAGCTAAATAAGGGCTTAGCCCAGCATGTTTGCAAGTGCTGTGCTCATACAGGAATTATGAAAGGGAAGTGATCTGAATTGCTGCCTCCTACCCACTCCAGGGGACAGCTGGGGTTCAGTCTTTGTAGGATGCTGAGTTGAAGCCTACCTCTGCTCTGAAATTTTACCTGCATTGAGACTAGAAAGGTTATTTTCAGTTTTTGCGTGGTCACCCATAAGACAACATAAAAAGGTCACACATAATCTTAGCACTAAGGTTGTGAAACAGTACTAAAGCACATTTTATTCTATTGACCAAAGATCACATTCTTTCTTTAAGCAAAAGATCCTGTTTATTTCACTTGTTATAAGACTACAAATACTGGAACATAGTTCTCAGCTGACAGGCCCAGCATTGCTTTGTTTTTCTGTAGATGCTGCTCTGCCATATCAGAATTGTATTTTAACTGTATGGTCAATACCTATGAGGCTGAATGTGCAGATTACTCATGTACACCCTTCATCTTCCCAGCCCACACAGCATTCCAGAACCATTAACAGACAGTTGTAGCTTTATCCTGCCCTAGCATTGCCAGATTCCAGAACTCTTATTTGTATTTACTGCTCTGGTATTAAATAAACTGGATATAAGATGGATGTAGTAATGAGTTTTTTTTTTGGTTCGCCCTTTACTCTGGTATAAAGCTACAGATTTTTTTTTTGACTGCTATAGAAGGAAAGCACTGTGCAGATCTGAAATTCAAACTGGAGGAGGTAAATCTGGGAATCAGCCACTTGCACTAAAGAAAACCTCTGGCTGTGTTTGCTGAGCACAATGAAGAAACCCTCATGTGCCTTTAAGCAGAAAAGAGATCCTTTAAAAAAAAAAATGCTTTATCCTTAAAAATTAGTCAAAATAGCTACAGAGAGGTCAATTCCTTCTGTTCATATCCCTGGGAATGTTTCAGATAGATGGAACCTGTAGTACAGCCCATAGTCTTTTTGTCTGGATGGAGTGAGTGTTGGAACAGAGAGTAGCTGTCACCTGGGCCATGTGCTCACCTGAAAACCACCTGAAACAGCTGGATGACTTAGAAACAGGAAAATTAAGACTTCAGCATACTAAATCACCCAGCACAGTCATAATTTGGTGCTCTTAGCATTGGGATTTCACCTGTCTTTTATTGGGGGTAAGTGAAGATGTACAAGAATGCAGAAGTTTAAAGCACATACACATTCTCCCATTCTAAATGTATTTTTCTAATAACTTTTAAGAAGGAAGGCCTTTAAAAGTGCTTAAAAGACTAACCCACACACACACACATATATATATATATATATATATATATATATATAAAATATATTTTGCTAAGTTTTTTTGGAGCTCTAACAGACAAGGAAATATATTAAATGTGGCACAGCCACATTTCAAACAAGAGATTTGCAAGAACTCTGCTTATATAATGCAGTAAATGATGTAAATGTTGTCTGATGCCCAGCCTTGGCAGTGACATCACCTAGAGTATATCAGACTCATCCAAGTGTGGAAATGAAGCAACAATTTGTTGTCACATATTGCTTCTGCATACAACCCCATTCTTTCTCACTAAAAGATTTTGAAATTGCTGTACAAGAGTTAAAAGTTTCTTGCTGCCATGCATAGAAGTCCTTACTTATATGAACTTTCTAGTTTCAGTAAAATTTTGCCCAAGAAAGGCACTCAGAATTTATATTATTTCTCCCTGTCTTCAGCACATTTTTACATTAGAAACAGGGACACAGAAGCAGAGATTCTACTGAAGTATAGAGGCAATAGCCCCTTGCTCCTAAATGCTGTTTCTCAGAGCACTTCCAGGGCTTTTTGAAGCTCTTTCACACAATAGTTTTGCAATAAACAATTTAGACTGACACCACCTCAGCTCCTTTTCCCACTGTCTTGTCTGTATGCATTGAACTCTTTTAGAAAATCCCACTATAGTCATGTTCACAACAGGACAGAGGGGAAAATGTCACAGGGAAACTTAGAGCATGACACTCCTGGAAAAAAGGAATAATTAAGTATTGAGTGGACCAACCACACAAACCATCCTCTGAAGACAAAAGTAACTACCACAGGCTTTTTTAGCCCACTGTTAGAAGCTGATTTCTGAAGTGATGTACAGGAGAACATTGAGTCATGTGGGGGGTGTTGATGCTTTTCTTCCTATCTGACCACACTGCTTTGAGGATAATATCTGGTCCTGGCACTCTCTCTGTCCCTGAGACAGAGAAAGGAACAGATGCTGTGGCCATTGGCTTGAATAGTTGTGATCCTTTCACCAAGAGTCAGACCCAAATCACTCAATGGTTTTATTTTCAGAGTGTACACTAAAAAGAGGAAAACTGCCCAAAGCAGAACTAAAGCACAGTTAGCATCCAAGAACACGTGGGTTTTCCATCAGGATGCCTGTTGGAACAGGTGCTTTAGGTCAATGAGGTTTCATAGATTGCTTATGGATAAAGGAACAAACTCCAGTTATGATTCAGCAGGAAAGCAATCCTTCCCTGTGCACTCTGAAGCAAGAAATACATAAAAAAAAAACCCCAAAAAACGAGAGAGACAGACTACTAGAATAATCTAGAGCAATATTAAACTGTACATTAGGAAACATGAAGCCTCTACCTCCTGTCCATAGGAACACAGGCCTCTTCATACCCTTAATGTTCCCACAGGGAATGGAAACAAGGAAAGCTGATTTTTGATGTGCTCTTCAGCCTGTTTGAAAAGCAAAGACTTTGTTTACATGCCTGAAAGTGCATCTGGGCACCTAACTGTCAACTTCTATTGTTTTAAAACTTGGGTTTGATATTTCCATAAAGAAGGGGTGTTGTAAATGCCAGAGTCTTCTGTTGTATTGGTTTGGATTCTTTTCTCCCCTGCCTCCCCCCCCATAATTGATATTATGTGAGACAGGCAGACTATTCTGGGCAGAAAGTTATTTTTAAACAGGCATTACTCTTTTCCAGAAACAGACTGTAAATTTCTGTCTTCTTTTAATTGCTTTGCAAAGTAAATGGAGTCCCTCTGGTTATATAATTAATATCCACATTTAGCCCTATATATTTGACATGACTTGAGCCATTTACTGCTACATTCATTTTTCAAGACTGGCTAGGAGTTCAGATATGCATTTAATTACTGCTGAACTCTGGGAAATATCCAAAGTTTTTTTTCTAGGGAGGTGTCTTAACAGTAGTGAGAAATAGATACTACAAAGAGTGATCTCTCTGAGCTGGCCTTTCTCCTTGCACACGCATCTGCTGATGCTGAGCAGTAAAGTGTCATCATATCTATCCTATATAATGCATTTTACAGCTTGAAATAAATATAAAGGAAGCAGAAATTGAAACAGCTGCCCTTAAAATGACAGGCATTGAGGTGTCTGGTGAAGATTTCATTTTTAATAAACACAGCTTTTTAAATAGGCTTCGTGAGCTCCCTGAAAGTTCAACAAACTTTTGTGGAGTGCCTTTTGAAAAGAACCCTCCGTGTGAGGATGAGCAAGCTGACAGCTTTCCTGCTTCCAACATCTCCCTCTCGTGGCGTTTTCCTCTCACTTCATCCCTGCTCTGCCGAAACATCCCTGTAAATAAATCCGAGAGCACTGATCACAGAGCACAGTGATTCCCTCCTGCCTTCCAAAGCTGTAAAATTTCCCAGTGGAATTTTCTGTCTTTAACAAGGTGACATCTCATAGGCTTCGTTTGAGAGGATCCTTATTAATAAGAGTGCAGGTGTTGGTGGGGTTTTTCCTGACTGGCACTTCTGAGCTCAGCTTTTTCACTGAAATAAAGTTCAGCTGTCTTGTCTAAGGTGCTGAAAGGTTTCCTGTTTTTGCACCTTCCATGTTATACCTTCCATGCATATCAAAATCCTCAAGAAGGTCCCCAAAGTTTCTACCCTGTTTCCAGACACAATTGGTCTGAGCACAGGTTTGACTTCCACCACGTCTTTCTAGGGCTTCCTGAAGGTATTATCCCCAGAGCACGACAGAGAAACATGAGAAGGAGCAAAGCTAGACTTAGACAGGAGTATTTAATCTCTTATCTGCAAGCTGTGGTACAGATAAACTCCATCAACCTTTAAATAAGCAAGGTCACTTCCTGAAAGGCCCCTGAGGTTGGGTTTGCCCAGCCCAGCACAGAGATCTGCTTCTAGATTCCCCCCTCGTCCATATGTTCTACAAACAGATTACTTCATCAAGGTGGTGCCTCAAATCATGCAGATGAGTCGCTCTCTGAAAGGCTTTAAAGTCTCCACCAACTCTGAAGGTAATTAGGGTTGGGGATCTCTAAAGTTAGGTGAGATGAATCGTGTTCCAAATTCGGCCTCTTGGGGCTCTTTGCTGGTTATTTTGTCCTTCATCTTCAGCACTACAGAGCCCATCTGTCCTACTTTACAAAGTCAATTGAGTCCCTATGGTTAGACAATTAACATCTAACTTGAGATGACCACCGGGTCATTTAATGCTAAATTTATTTCATATGATTGATCAGAGTGCTGGATTATCTTTGATCCCTGCTGAACTTCACAGAACACCCTGAAATCCGAACTGTCACGAGTTAAATTAATGGATGGACTGGCAATGAGGCTGAGGATAAGTTAACTGAGTACTGCCACAGACTGCTTCCAAGCTAGCTCATTAAAAACTAACTAGAAGACCTTGATGCTTCACTGCAGTCTGAAGCAAAGCCATATTTTAAATGCTTGGCTGTGGTAACTCCAAAAACCTAAGGTGGAGCAGAAAGTCGAATCAGGTCTCCCGACTCCCAAGCTCGTGATTCAACTAATCGGTTGTTTTCTGACTTGGAAAATATGTTTCTACAATTTGTGTGTGTGAGCAAAGCCATTAGCTCACTTTGTGACTTATCCTGATAGCAATTACCAGCCATATGGAATGAACCAAGCTCATTACTTGCAAACAGCATAAAATCTCTGCACCACTCATTAATGCCTTCATTTGCTGCTGCGTGTCCTTCTCTTCTGCAAATGGAGGATTTGGCACCAAACGGCTCTAATTCACATTATTTCATTAAACAGGAAGTTTAATTACATAACAAAGTTGTTCAGTGAGCTGTTTCCACAGGGACACCGGTTTCTGAGCACATCCCCAGCTATTAGAGCTCTACAGCACCCAAACATCAGGATGAGAGGCCCAGCAGATGCACGCTGCTGCTTGCCTTACTAAAAGTGCCAATCAGGGATTCTGCCTTATATTCTGAGACTTTTTCTTCAATAATCTCAAAGAAAATGCACTTTGGAACTTTTCTGCCTCTTTCAAATTTCACTCACAGGTTCAGAACTCGTTGGAGGAGAATGGGCTGACAGGGCAGTTCAGAAATTATTCAATGGTTATCTAGGCTGAAATGTTATTTTTCCATTTTTTTCACCTCTATATATTTAAATTGGGAAACTACAACAGAAATTGCTTCATAGTTTCATGCACATGAGATATCAGCAGTGTAGCATCTTTCCTTTGGAGTGAGATGGGTGCATACTGAAAAAAAAACTAATTTAAAAACGATCCTCACTGACAAAATGGATTATTAGCAATGTCTCTTGCTGGCACACAGTTAGGCCTTATTCTTCAAATTCTCTGCCTGAGAATGCCCTCTGA